TTTAATTCAGAGCTGACAGTTTCCCGACCTCGCCGGTGGCGGGAAGCCCTTACACTCCCAGCAGCCTCTTCTCCCAGAGGATAGGCAGACGGGCCTCTCTCAGGGTCAGGATGCTGTGAAGGCCTCCTTCTGTAGCGCGGGGAGGACCAGCTGTGATAAGCCTGAGCACTGGTGTCGTTCAAATATAAAAGCAGTGACGGGGGCCCCAGAGGAGTCCTGTCAGAGGAACTGTCTTGTGCTGAAGGATGCCGTCCCTGGTCTCTCACGCACGTAAAATTTACAGACATGTGAATACTTCTCTGCTTGGAGGCCACTAAGGGCTGAAGGAGAGTGGTCACATCAATCTCAACCCATTTGTATTTCTTTTTAAATTCCAGCTGCGAGTTAAAGATAAGTGAGTATGGAGCTCCAGGGAGAGCCTTGGTAGAAACCTCTGGTCCCTTGATCCCCAGGTTGCACACACATTTAACAGCAAGGGGAAAAGAAACTGAGTTGCTCAAAGTGTATAGCAAGACTGACTTGAGTAAGTGTTCAACAGCGGTAACACGATCCAGGTTAAACAGCACGTCCACTGACCAAAGGGTTCCTGAGAAGAAAAACAACCCACCAGGAGAGCTTGAATACAAATGCAACATGACAGGAAGTGAAATCAAGGAATTACTACTTTGTAATGTGATTTCTGCCGTCTCTTTTCCCACTTCCTCAAGCCTCAGAAAAGCCTCAAGATGGGGGTGGAGAGGGCGGTTATACAGAAAATGCAGGTAATCAGCGCCATAACTAACTTCCAGCAACTACAACTGGATGTTTAATCATCAGAAAGTCAAAACAGCCACGGGTGAATTAAAACAACAGGGAACCATTACATTCTAAAATTTCAGAGTCTTAATAATTTGCTCCAAACAGAGGAAGATAATAAGGAATGCAGTATTTTTCCACTGGAAAGCCTCTAGAGGGAAAACTGTAGTAAAACACTTAATATGCTTGCTAAGAAGACATTCTAAGCACTAATGAATGGAGTCAATAAAGAAGCCTTCATTGTCTAAATTAATTTGGAACGCTTGAGATTGACAACAATTGGAGACTTTAAAACCACTACAATAAATAGGACATCAAGGAAGGAGGGTTTCAAACAGCCCCAAGGGACCTGCTGGGTTAGGAGGGTTTTAAGTGATGAGCTACTGAATATAGATTTTTTTTTAAGTACTGCACCTTTCTCTTTCTCCGTCTCTCTCTCTCTCTCTCTCTCTCTCTCTCTCTCTCTCTCTCTCTCTCTCTCTCTCACACACACACACACACACACACACACACACACACACACACACACACACAGGACACCAAGGTTGTCATGTCAGATTGTTGACTAACACCTCACTCTTGTAAGGACCTATTGTTCCAGATGGGGATTTAAGCATTCTTACAGAAAGTACCAAACAAAGGGAAACATCCTGTTCAACAGAGCACACCAACAGTTACCAGATGTTTTAGGCACATTTCCAGGCTAGCATTAGTAGAATGGCAAGAAAAAGCAACTGGAGGTCAAAATACCTGGTTTCCAGTCTCGATTTTATGACCTTGGACAAGATGCTAACCTTGTCCAGCGTGTTTTCCTCGTTTCTAGCGCCATTAAGTCATCTCTGGCTCTAAAATTCTATCATATTAGCCCACCTTAATTCATTAGCAAGACAACACAAGGTCAAGCACCAGGTTTCTTTGAATTTGGATGAGTATTAGGCAAAGTAAAATGCAATTCTAGAAGTAAAACCAAGTTTCGTTCTATAACTGAAATGCAGAAAGATCTACCAACTTCCCCCCGCCCATTAAACAATCTGCTCCTACAAACCTGTCACCTGGTCCCCAGGAGCCCGCTTGTGCTGGGAACAGGGGGTGAAGAGCCGAACAGTGTTGTAGAGGTGACTTCTGTTGGATTTAGGGATTCCCTCCTTGGTAGCATATGCCTTGTACAGTCTCTTCATGTAGCGCAAAGCTCTGGAGTCTGGCTGCAGCCTAGGGGCCCCACCTTGCCCATCGTACAGAGTCTTGAAGAGAGAGGGAAGGAGGCCAGACCTGCCTCTCGCATCTAGAGACTGCAGCTCAGCCTCAGACCCCGACTCGGCACGAGCAGCAATCTGAACTTCTCTAGAAGCCTGAGAACCATGGCTAATCGGAAAATACAACCAGGAAAGACAGCAAAACCAAAGGAAGACTTTGCTGGGAAGTGCCATGGCTTGGCTAGCAAGGAGCGCGTTTCCCTGCACTAGTCTTCCTGAAAGCCTGGAAGAGCCTGGGTTGATCTCTTAAATAAATTTTAGGTGTGTGGGCTGGCATCCCTTCTATAATCAGACCTCAGGGATGCCAGCTGAAGATAATTCATATCAGCTGCATATCAAACAGCTGGTAACACCCTATTCATTCAATCTGTCCTCATCAGATACGGATTTATTTGGTTATTTTGCTTTCATCTTTTTCCTATCATTTATTTAAAATCTCTTGTTATTGTTATACTAATGAACTATGTAGCTAAAAGGCTGAGACACTGAAGAATGATCTTAAAATAAAATCACCCATTTATTTATTTATTTTTTTTATTTTTTTGAGAGGGCATCTCTCATATTTATTGATCAAGTGGTTGTTAACAACAATAAAATTCAGTATAGGGGGGTCATTGCTCAATGCACAATCATTAATCCATCTCAAGCCTAATTCTCGTCAGTCTCCAATCTTCTGAAGCATAACGAACAAGTTCTTACATGGTGAACGAATTCTTACATAGTGAATAAATTCTTACATGGTGAACAGTACAAGGGCATTCATCACAGAAACTTTCGGTTTTGATCATGCATTATGACCTATAAACAATCAGGTCAAATATGAATATTCGTTTGATTTTTATACTTGATTTATATGTTGATCCCACATTTCTCCTATTATTATTATTATTTTTATTTTTAATAAAATGCTGAAGTGGTAGGTAGATGCAAGATAAAGGTAGAAAACATAGTTTAGTGCTGTAAGAGGGCAAGTGTAGATGATCAGGTGTCAGGTGTGTGCCTATGGACTAAGTATTAATCCAGGCTAGACAAGGGCAGCAAGACATCCACGGATGCAGAAGATTTCTCTCAAAGCAGGGGGGGTGAGGTTCTGAGCCTCACCTCTGTTGATCCCCAATTTCTCACCTGATGGCCCCCCTGCGACTGTGCCTGTCTTAGGTTGTTCCTCCCTTGAGGAATCTTACCCGTCTCTGGCTAACCAGTCATCTTCCGGGGCCATACAGGGAGATGTAAAGTTGGTAAGTGAGAGAGAAGCCATATAAAATCACCCATTTTTTGAGACAGATTAGGATTCTTAAAATGTTCCTTAGGTGCTTGCTGAAACTTCCCAGGCATGTGGAAAGCTAGCTGATTATTCACCACGGCAGGCAGATCTGTTGGTAATCAATTTACGGTGTTGGGTTTACTCTTCCTGTCCCTTCATCCTCATTGCCTCTCCCACTTCAAGGTGCTTAGAATTATTATTTACTGCATGTTGATTTAGAAGGTGAGAGAAAATCCCAATTGGCATTGAAATTCCAGAGAGCAGAGAACTGTATGTTGCCAGGTTCTCCCAGGTAACTGAGTATATAGTATATGTGATTGCAATCCTGCAAGGTTCTTTAAAAAGGAGGACATTACCTTTAATCTTGACTCATTTTTAAATATAATGTCTTGATGTCTCTACTTTGTCTGGTCTTACACGTATTTTGGTTTAGAGATGTTTGCAGGTGTACAAAACAAATGAAAGTCTTATTTTTAATAATCATTCAAATGGTGGTAGAATTTGCTAAGGTATTTTCGTTTTGAACTATTATAGGTATTTATGTTCTTGCCTTAGAGCTGAGACCCTATAAGAATATAGTAATTTATCTTCCATTTACCCTATGGTCCCAAGCACATAAGCCGGTGAAAATCATGCCCGGACTTGCCTCACCTTATTTCTAAACATTCCGACCCGCCCCCAAGGCAACAGGCCAAGGGGTACTTTTCCACTCCGCCCCTACAAAAGGCATAAGGCTCTGCACCACGCTGCTGCTCTCTCCCTCTCTAGGGGCGGCCACTTTCTCTTTCAGATAATAAAATCTCTTGCGTGGGCTCGTGTCTCCGGAGGCCTTCTGGGTAAGGAGGGAGGCGGCGAGATACCCTTTCAGACCCAGCCGGGGATTAGGTTTTAGAAAAATGACGCAAAAGTGCATCATCAATAGCTGACATGTCGGGATAGCCAGTGCCACCTCTGAGACGACATGCTCGAAAGTCAACCTGCATTCATGGTACAAGATAACAGAACCAGTTTGTGCAGTACCCAGGTTGATGATAAAAGTTATGCTTACAAATTTAAAGTTCATTGCCCGGTAAGCCTCCCTGACCTGTGGCTACTGAGTCGGGTTAAAAAAAACACCCAAACTGTTAATAGAGATTTTACAGGCACTCTGTATCAGGTAGAAAACTCAGGAGAGCAGTTGCCTTCAGTAGAAAGAAAGCACTTTCTAAAAACAACGCCTCCCAAGCGGCGTTCCTGGGAAGGGGAGTTAATTTGGGCACCGTCCCTCCCCGCCCCCAGGCCAAGCCGTCTCGGGGGCAGCTGGCGGCTGTGGAGGTAGCTTCTAGCAGCCTTTTGCCAACTGCTTAACAATTATTTGAGAGCTCTAATGGCTGCCGTTGAGGAAGTTTTTATTCCGTCTCAGAAGTTCTACACCCTGCCGGGGGGCTCTAAGACGGCGGCTGCCACGAGAAGCCCCGTGTCTGCGTCCCGGGTTTTGGCGGCGGGGTGGCTGATGGCCTGAGAACAACGGGGTGCCGTCTCAGCGGGCCCACAGCCCACACGGCGCGCAGCGGCGCCGCCCCGGCCTCAGGCGCCTGGCCCCTTTCTCTTCCCTTCTTCGCCCCTCGGCCCCGGCCGCTTCCAGCCGCTCCCCCGAAAGGCCGGGGCCTGGCAAGTGTGAGAGCCTCCCGGGGCAAGGGGCCCGGCGCCCAGGGCCGCTCAGGCCCCCGAGGCCCCGTCCGTCCACCCGGCCAGGCGCAACACCCCTGGAAACAGCAGGGAGTGGTATTTCCCGGAAGTGACTTCACGACCTCGCGCGGCGGCTTCGGGTCCTCCCGGAAGTGGCGGGCGGAGGACGAGCCTCCCGTGGCTGTGGAGGGCGTCGTGACCCCGGTGCGAAGTGAGGGCCGGTGACGCTGTTCTGGTGGTGCTTGGGAGGGGGCGCGGACCTCCGGGGTTGGCGGTGGGTCCCCGGACTGAGCCCCTAGCCTGTGCTTCCTCCGTCCTGCAGGCGCCGCAGCGACCATGGGCCGCGAGTTTGGACATCTGACACGGATGCGGCATGTGATCACCTACAGCTTGTCGCCATTCGAGCAGCGCGCCTTCCCGCACTACTTCAGCAGGGGCATCCCCAACATGCTGCGCCGCACTCGGGCATGCATCCTTCGGGTCGCACCCCGTGAGTGCCCTGGCCGGGACGGGGGTGAGTGGGAGGTGCTGCACGCCCATGCACGGTAGTGACTGCGGGTACCCTCAGTGAGCGCCCTCCCTCGGCAGGCACTCTGCAGTTCTGAAAGTCCCTGGACTAGTCCTGTCATCTTCCTCGTACTACAGAGGAGGAAACTGAGTCACGGAGAACTTGTCTCCTTGGCCCTAAAATCACTTGTCTCCTCCTGAGTTCATCTTTACCCACTTCTTAATTACTATGAACTGTTTTGTGTTAAATATGCAGCAGATAGTGAAGGTAGTTGCACGATATTGTGAATTTGCTACCAACTACAGAAACGTACACTTCAAAATGGTGACATGTTATGTGAATTTATGTCGATTAGCTCATTGAAATGTGCAGCAGGGGGAGATAGGGAACTTTTGGCAACAGATTTTCCTGAGCAGATCTCTTTCTTCGGTCACCTGTAAAATGAGTGTGTAATGTAGCCTTGCTTGATCATCTGATTTAAAAGTGGAGACTCAGAATTGGAGACCAGGAGCAGAATCTGCTGTGAGTCAGAAAAGTGAACTGGGACCCATGTCTTGTATGTGTTCACTGCTTACTCTTTTGATTTTTAAAGCATTTGTAGCATTTTATCTCCTCTACACATGGGGAACCGAGGAGTTTGAGAAATCCAAGAGGAAGAACCCAGCTGCATATGAAAATGACAAATGAGCAACTCACCTGGATAATGGTTCCCTGTCTCTGGAAGACCCTTCTCTGGAAAGGAGTCTACATTATAGTGCACTGAAAACACAATAAACTGTGGGCTGCACTGTTGTGATTTTTCATTTTTGTGAGTGGAACCCTTGTTGTGACTGCTAATATTCAAGCTCATAAACTCCTCTCCCCAGCCTGAGTCCCTAAACAATTGTGGCTAGTCTGGGAGTTTGGTGAAGGGTCAGGACTCACACTCTGTCCTCTAATCTACAAGAAAGGAACTGCAGCCACGCTTACCAGTTGTCTGTAGCATGGACCTTTGGGAGTGGTGGTTCCCTGCCCTCTCCTACCATAGTGAAACCTAGTAGCTACAGTGTAATTATTTCGTGTGGGGGTACTCTTCTTAGTCCTTTACAAGCTCTTCTAAACCTTTGGAGTTAAGTATCATCATTACACTCAGTTTGCAGAGGACACAGGCATGGATAGGGTAAGTAATCTGCAGCTAGTGGACAGTGGAGTCTGGCACTAAAGTTTGTGTTCTTGAAGCTGTGCTAATGCCTTTCTTCCTAAGGCAGACCTTCCTTAGCCTGTGGGGAAGTCAGCTATAAAAGGAGTGGGTGAGGGTCCCTTTGGCCCTGTTTGTACCAGGCTGCTAACTGGTTTAAAACCATGTATGGCCCAGAAAGCCTAAAATATTTACTCTGGACCTTTATGTAAGAAGTTTGCCCCTGTTCTAGAGCCTTTGAATTACCTTTTTAGTAGAACAGGTAAGGATAGGTTTGGCAGTTTTATGCCTCTGGTTTCCTGGTCTATTCCTACAAACATCCTTTTTTCTAAGGACACTTCCCGCTGGTCCGGAGTATCAACTGTTAGTATGGCTCAGCTCCCAGCCCAGCCTGTATCTTTCCTTCTTACTCTTAATGGTGGTTTTTTTTGCCTTTTAGGAACCAAAATTGAAATACTTAAAAAAAGGGATAAGGCAGATTGCATTGATTGCGAGGCAGGGCAAGGAGGAACAGCTGATACTGACAGGCTTGGGCCTGTATCCTTTAACTTGCTTCCTCAGTGTGCGATACAGGCAGGAAACCTGCATTCCTGAGCTTTTAACTTCTCATCCATAAAGTAGACATGTTAATACAAAGTCATAGGGTTGCAGTGACAGTAAAATGAGTGACAGCTGAGTCTGCCAGGGTGGTGCAGGTTTTAACAAAGGACAGCTATATGATGCACTGTTGCTTCACCAAATGTCCAATTTTTGTGTTTGTCTCATCCAAATTTATTCGCAGGGCTTGTGCCTGATCTGCAAGGTGTGTGGGTCATAGACTCCTGTAAGAATCTAATGAAAAGCTGCAGGTCTGGAGGTAAAAATGTACCACCCATCCTTAAATTTGTGGTTTTAAGTCTTGTGGGCCAGGGGACGACCACTGCCTTGATAGGTGGTTAATCTCTGGCTTCCTCTGATTTTAGCCCCAAGCTTCCTAGGGAGCCTCCTATCTTGGCTTCAGTTTACCTTTAGACTTTATTCCTGGTTGTCTGGCCTATTTGGAGATACCAGCTCAAAAACTTACCCTTTCTCTGCCTAGGCCAGGCACTGAGCCTGTTAGTATGAATACTTTTAATTCCACAGTTCCTGAGAAGCCCCTGCTGTCAGCCTTGTTATGTGCTGAGCTGCAGCATTTCGATGACATTGTTAAAGGCTGTTTTAAGCTGTCTCACCAAAGGGCTTCGCTCTCTAAGCGCCAACGGAGCTCTGGGTAGCAGGGTGCTGAGGCAGTTGGCGTGGAATGTGGGGAGTTGTACTGCTCATGTACATGATACGGAATCAGATCATTTTAGGGACTAACCTATCTGCAGAAATCTGTAAAAAGGAAAATTGGAGCAGAGTCTTGCGTAGGGACCCCTGCTTCAGTGCCTAGGAACCATCCTGGAGTGTGCAACTCTGCATGCGGGGCTCCTTCCCTCCTGCCGGGACACAACCTCTTGCTCATTTAGCCCTTCTTCCCCCAACAGTGTTCCTGCCACCAGGGCTTTTATCTGGGTGGCAGGATGTGACTAAGAACTCTTCAGTCTGCCAGACAGTCCGTGAGGTGCAGGCTTATCTAAGTGCAAGCCCAGAAGTCTGCCAGTCCCAGCTGGCAAAAAAGCAAGTACACTTTGACCCTTTATTGGGAGTTCTACCTGGAAAAGTTTCTCCATTTCAGAATCTCCTTTTTTATTAGGCATTTCCTGCTCAGAGACAGCAAAAATGATTCCAATTACTTGCCAAGCCCTAATGATCTCTCTACCTGGAATGTGTTTCAAACAGCCTTTATAATGTGTACACGCTCCCATTTCATCCCAGACACTTCCCCAAGCAGAAAATCCCAGGGAGTTGTAGAGTTACCAAGCTGTAAGCTATCAAACATGCTTCAGTCTCATTTTCTTCTTATACATAAATCATTTAACCCCTAAATCTCAGTGCCTGAGAGGCTTCAGAGATCTACTCCCATCTCTTTTGATGGGACGAGCCCACAGAGGGATGGGCTGGCCTGTCCTCAGTTACCCTACCTAGACCCCTGGCTCCTGCCTCCCAGCCAAGCGTTCTTTCTCCTTATGGCTGAAATCATTAGAGGCTGCTTAGACCTTTCTGCTGGAGGAAGAAAGATGTAGTTATGTGCTTATTCATTCAGCAAAATATTTGATTGCAGAGAGCCTTCCTTTTTTTTTCAGGAATAGCCCTTCACAACTATTCAAGGGGTGTGGATAGTTGTGGATGACTGCTGTCACTACAGCTTAGTGCTGTCTGGACCACTTTTTTTTTTTAATTAAGGCATCATTGATATACACTCTTTTGTAGGTTTCACATGAAAAGCAATGTGGTTACTACATTCGCTCATATTATCAAGTCCTCCCTAGTAAGATGCCAGAGTCACTACTTGTCTTCTTTGAGCTACACGGTCTTCCCCATGACCCCCCGCACCATGTCTATTAATCATAATACCCCTCGATGCCCTTCTCCCTCCCTTCCCCACCCCCTCCCCTTTGGTAACCGGCTAGTCCCTTCTTGGAGTCTGAGTCTGCTGCTGTTTTGCTTGCCACTTTGCTTTTAAAAGCATGATTTTTACTTACTCCATATTTAGTTTGAGTAAAAGTAGTTAGTGTAGCCATTATGTTAAAATACCTTCTCTAATAGTGGTTTTTTCCATAGACAGCAACTTATGGGTCTTTTCTTTGTGGAAGAAGAATGCCATACAAGATAAGAGGCTTGGGGTAAAGGCTTCTGCTGTGTTAAAACACCCATGTTGATGAATTTTTCCCATATTCAGGGGTTCTGGGCTTTAGGCCCTTCCCTTGGCTGCAGTATTGGCTTTATAAACTGACACAAAAGGCTAATTTAATTTTGCTTGGAGTATAGGAAGGCAGAAATGGCGGATTAGGAGAAAGTAACCATCTTTGGAAGTAGTGGTTTCTAAATCCCATTTGGCACATCCCACCAGGCTGGTTAAGGGGAGGCTGGCACTGAGTCCACAGACCCAACAAGCCCTAGGACATCACGTTGTTCAGGCTTTTGCTTATCTAATCAGATTTGTGTTCTTACCCAATGTTCACGAGGTCACCACTCAGCCTCTTATTCACCCAAAAGGTCCTAGTTAAGCCCCTACCTAGGGTCATCT